GTGTGTGTGTGTGTGTGTGTGAGAGAGAGAGAGAGAGAGAGAGAGAGAGAGAGAGAGAGAGAGAGAGAGAGAGAACCACACACCAGAAATATTTTTACCATAATAGTGGAAACAAAAATATATAATGTGACAACTCTTTTTTTTTTTTTTTTTTAATTTTTTCGAGACAGGGTTTCTCTGTAGTTTTTGGTGCCTGTCCTGGAACTAGCTCTTGTAGATCAGGCTGGCCTCGAACTCACAGAGATCCTCCTGCCTCTGCCTCCCAGGTGCTGGGATTAAAGGGGTGCGCCACCATCGCCCGGCAATGTGACAACTCCTATGTCACTAAAAAGAGGCTGAGTATGGTGGCACATGCCTTTAATCCCAGCATTCAATGGAGAGACCCACATAGATCTCTTCCAGGCCAGCCAGAGCTACATAGTGAAACCCTGTCTCAAAAAGAAAAAAATCTAGTATCTAAAATAAAGTATTCCTAGGTATGATGGCAAACACCTGTAATCCCAGCACTTGGGAAGTAGAAACAGGAGAATCAAGAGTTTGGTCATCCAAGCAGGGCATGATGGTGCACACCTTTAATCCCAGCACTCTGCAGGCAGGGCCAGGTGAATCTCTTGAGGTCAAGGCCAGCCTGGTCTACAGAGTGAGTTCTAGGACAGCCAGAGCTACACACACACACACACACACACACACACACACACACACACACACACACACACACACGACGTGACTCATTTAGTCAAGTTCCTGCTAATCTTTCTTATCCAGCTCATGTGTAAGGTGAAGGAGTGCTCGTGCCCACAGCTGTTAGTACTAGAGTTAAATCCATTTGTCCCTGTAATATTTACTGTGTAACCACCATACACAGAATGAAATTTCATCACCTGAATGACTTTTCTTTATTACGTAACAATGAGAAGAGGGATGAAGAGGTGGCTCAGTGATTAAGGGCACTTCCTATTCTTTCAGAACACCTGTGTTCTGTTCGCAGCACCCACATCAGGCAGCTCACAAACTGCCTGTAACCCTGGCTCCAGGGAGATCTGAAGCCTCTAGCCTTCGAGGGCACCTGCACTCATTTGCAGATAAACTCATAATTAAAAACAATAAAGTCATTCTTTAAAAAAAAAAAAAACTGGGCCAGGTGGTACTCAACAGTAGTCCTAACTACTTGAGAACCTGAGAGAGGATCACCTGACCCCAAGTTCAGGACAAGCCTGAAATACAATGAAATTCTATCTAAAAAATAACCCTCAGCTGGGCGGTGGTGGCGCACACCTTTAATCCCAACACTCGGGAGGCAGAGGCAGGTGGATCTCTGTGAGTTCGACCAGCCTGGTCTACATGAGCTAGTTCCAGGACAGGCTCCAAAGCTACAGAGAAACCCTGTCTCGAAAAACCAAAAATAAATAATAAAAAATAACCCTCAAGTTAGAGGTGTGGTTCACGAGTAGAGTACATACACTAGGATGGTTAAGGGCCCCCTTTTCATGTCCTTAGAATAACCCCTACAAGACCCATTGACAAACTGCTTATATCCTACACAAAAGGTAATAAATATAAAAGTGAGCACTGAGCTGGATGGTGGCATACATAACACACAGAAGCAGAAAGCTCTCAATTTGCAGCCCGGCTTAAGCCACATCTCATGATCCAATAGCAAAAAAAAAAAGGTATGTGTGTATACATGCATGTATATATAGACATACATGTTTATGTAGTACGTGTATATGTGCATATGTAAACATGTTTATGTATATATGTGTGTGTAATTCCTCATATACTTAATAGGGGAGTATGTACACATTTGGGCATATAGAACTAAGATCATTACTGCAGTGCTAATACTCTACCCTTGTTTTGGGACATGGTCTTAGAAAGTCTGAAGTTCCTGATTAGACTAGGCTGACTGGCCAGCACGATCTCCAGTATCAGAGTTAAAGGATCATGCCACCACTTACCGGAGTTAAAGGATCATGCCACCACTTGTGGGTTCTGTTGGCGTTTCGTTTTGTTTTATTTGATCTTTCAAAACGGTCTCTCTGGGTAGTCTCAGCTGTTCTGGAACTTTGTAGACCAAGCTGGCCTCGAACTCAAGAAATCTGCCTGCTCCTGCCTCCAAATCTTGGGATTAAACTTGTGTGGCACCACCACCAGGCCACTCCTTGGTTTTGGGGAGAGGTACTGGGGATCCAAACTCAGAATCCTTGTCTGTTTTCGGGTTTTGTTTTTTTGAGACTGGGTTTCTCTGTGTAGCTTTGGCTGTCTTAGAACTCACTCTGTAGACCAGGCTGGCCTTGAACTCAGAAGTTGCCTGAGTGCTAGGATTAAAGGCGTGTACTATCACTGCCTGGCTTCCTTGTGCTTACCAAGCCATCTCTCCAGCCCTGACCCATGATTTCTGTGATCTATATTCCCATCTCTAGACCCTAAATTTTTACTCCAGAGGCCTATGAATGGGGTTGGTAACTCAAAAGACCCCAAGAGGAGCTAATCTTTTATTTATTATGTGTGTCTGCCTGCAAGCCAGAAGAGGGCACCAGACCTCTTTATAGGTGGTTGTGAGCCACCATGTGGTTGCTGGGAATTGAACTCAGGACCTTTGGAAGAGTAGGCAATGCTCTTAACCACTGAGCCATCTCTCCAGCCCCCAAGAGGAGCTAATCTTTTGGTATTCATGAGCTAGCCTAAAGAGCAGACTGAAGGATGACTGAAATCGCAGCCCCCAAGTGTGTTAGTGAAGCGATCTGAGTGTGAAAATAGGCTGGGCTACACAGGAAGAACATATCTGATTAAAACAAGAATAAAATTCACAAGCTATCCTAGAAGCACATGTAACTGAATCTTTTGCAGAGGACCCAAATATCCTTTATATTGCCAAGAGCTAGTCAGATGAGGAAGACTAGCATACAACCTAAAATCTGTTATTTAGGACTAGTGAAAGGCTTTGTGGAAAAGGGCACGTGAGTCTGACTACCACGCGGTGGAAGTAGAGTTGTCTGATGCCAAGCACTATGGCAAGAAAGTGCCCAGACACATAAACGCACAAAATAAGTGTAACAAAAATAGAGCCTGTATTTGAACATTAGGTATTTCTTTATACTGATTGTTCATATATTTTCATGAAGGTCCAACATAGACGTTGACAACAAAACAGAATATATAATGCATTTGATCAAAGATAAAACTGAAAAAAAAAATGAACAGAACAACAAAACACTTTATTTCAGTAATCAGTCCAGAATGTCTGAAAATGCACATTATCAGTTGGTTAGGGCAATAAGAGCCTCCACAACGTTGCCCATGTGTTCCCGCAAGCTCCTTTCTGCTGCTGCTCGAGAGATCTCCATCTCTGTCATCTGCAAGAAAAGGGTAAATCATGTCACCGTAGCCGCCTCTCAGGCATAAATGTGTCAACACCACTTTTGGGAACCCAAATTAGGTAGAACTTCACTTGAGCATCCACTAAGGCATTGCTACTCACTATCAACTCCAGATCTTCCTTCTTGATCGTGACCTTCGCCAGTTCCTTTTCCCTGTAATTATATATGTGTACATACACATCTGTCTTCATTCTCTATCTCTGCCATAAACTCCCACAAAGAACACTCCCAGCAGCACACTGCAAATGGGTGGAACAGGGTTGACCGAAAACATCAAGTAAACGTACCCACCCCTCCCCTGGAGGTTTTTCTTACCCTAAAAACTCGCTATAACAACAAAGTTGGAAACTCTAGATCTACAGGAATTAATTAAAAACTTTTTTCCCCTGGAGAATGAGGACTCGTAGGGTTAAACTTACCGCTCCTGTTTTGCCTTTTGCTCCCTGGACCGTCTGTCTCCAATGACGGACATAGCCTGTTGGAAACACGAGTCTAGTCACCTACGACTATGCTACCCAAATTTCCTATCTAAACCGCAATACCAAAAATAAAAACTACGTGGTTCCTCAAGTATTCAAATGACGAGTGTTCTCGAGACCAAAGGACTACGCTTAATTCCGTGCACTTGAGGTCCACTTAGGCCCACTCTCCACCAAATTCTTAAGCAAACCGCAGGCTAGGTGAGTGTTGTCGCTTATCCCCACCCTACTGCCCATTCTCACTAGGCAGCAAACAGATCGGCTTCAACTGTCCCATTCTCAACCCTCTCATACAAGCTCCCGGTCAACCTTACCGTCTCCAGATTCGAACTTTGGATCTCCTTCTCCTCCGCATAGTCAGTGACCCGCTCCAAGTCAGCAGCACCACTATCATGCTTCCGTGGCTTCTCGGGAGGCCGCTCCGGGCCGCTGGTCTCGGTCTCTAACTCCAGCTCCACATCTCCCTCGGTCGCCATTTCGATCTCACCGCGCCGCCGCATAGGCTGCCGCTACACAACTTCCGGCAAACCTCAGCTTCCGCCCAGATATGGGGCGGGCCTGGCCCTAGACCACACCTTTGAGCCTGTCTTGAGAAGCTTTGGCTAAGAGGGCCGTTCGCTTTTGACCTCTCTGGCTTGTGTTTTCTGCAGTCTCCTTCGACTAATCTGTTCACTACCCACACCATCCAAATGCACAACCTTACTTCTTCATCTAAGAATAATCCTTAAACACACTCACGCGTAATTGTATTTTCTGCAATCTCCTTCGACTAATCTATTCACTACCCACACCACCCAAATGCACAGCCTTATTTCTTCACCTAAGAACAATCCCTACACACACACACACACAGTTCTGACCAACCAAGGCGGCCCACAGCTAATCCTAAACCAATTAAAAAAACCTAATCCCCAGACCAGATAGGCCAACTGCTCCTAATCTTAGGAAACAGTCTGAATGATCCCGAATACGAAGCCCGGTGAAGGCATCTTCACAAGGGTATTTGCATTTACCAGTTTCTAATGATCCGTATTCATTTTCTGATATGCCCATTCTACTGCCTTAAGACTGAGTGATTATTAGCCCAGCACAGTGACCGCCCAATGGGTGAAAATCTTGAGAGGCTGCTGTTCTTCATCCGTTTTCCCAGTAATGGATCTACGCCTAACTTCTGGATCACAAATGATAAGTGCAAAAACCGTCCCCGGCCGGAGCACCACCCTGGGCCTTGCACAGCAGCATGATGGAGTCGGCGATGTCACAGCGAAAAACCCCTTTTATCAGGTGAGAGGGCATTTGAGGAGACAGACTTGAGGATGCCCTTAGATAGCTGGTTTGGTGAGAGATACCTGGTTCTTTGCCTGATAACTGGTAAACCTCTCATCCCACATTCCCAGCCACAGAGCAAACGTTAGGTAAATGTAGGTGGTTCACTCCTATACTGAAGTTCTTCCCAATGAAAAATCATAGTAGTGTTTAGTAAAGGCAGTCTGACGGTGGGAAGAAGGGGTTTGTAATTTGACCTTTAACCCCACACAGTATACACCATCCCTTGCAAAGCTCCACCTTTGCTTCCTGCTCTATTCCCAGGTGTCCTGCTGTGGGCCTGTTTCCTGGACCAGCTGCTGCCACTCTAGGCGGCCCTCTCTCACAGAGTCTTCTTGTAGCCGCCTGCTCTACATCCTTCTCCACTTGGGGGCCTCAGCTATCTGCTGCCTCCTGCTGTCTAGGACAGTGGTAGAAAGGGTCTGGGGCAAAGCACATGGGGTAAGTTGGGCAGGAGGTGCAAAGTGAGGGAAAGAAACCATAACATCTAGATTGGGAACAGGGAGCAAGTGTCACCCTACCAGTGAGAAGCTGGAACCTGTACATGCATTGTGACTTGTCCTACCTTTTGTCACAACCAAACTCCCTGCAGATCCAGATGCCCTCAGTGCTGTGTGCCCACCTGTTTGGCAACTTGGACTGTCCAGTGCTCAGTGGCTCTGGGGCTGTGTATCGAGTATGTGCAGGAACTGCCACTTTCCACCTGCTGCAGGCGGTGCTGCTAGTCCGCCTCCACTCCCCCACCAGCCCACGTGCACAGCTGCATAACAGGTCTGTGTGTGATTTTTGGATGGGGATGGGACAGAGGGAAGTAAGTAGACACAAGCTGGCTAAAGGAAACTCCAGGATGAAGAAAGACCACTGTAAAAAGACAGAAAATAAGTTTATAAACCCCTGGGCTCTAAATTGAAAGTAACAATGGTTATATGTAAACCTTCCATAAAGTGCACAGTGTTGCTCATGAGACTTTTGGCATCTGAATTAAAACTTGGACTACAATGGGACTTGGGACTTGTTCCACCTCTCCTCTTCCCAGCTGCCATACTTTTTTTTTCCTTTTTCCCCTTTGCCTTTTCTCCTACATCTAGTTTTCTCTCTACCCCCACTAGCTTCTGGAGCTTCAAGTTGTTGTTCCTGTTAGGTCTCTGGACTGCTGCCTTCTGTATCCCTGATGAGCATCTCTTCCCAGGTACTCTGCATCTTACACCATCAGCAAGAGTAGACCACGACTTCCTAGTTCACGACAGGAAGTTCGACATAATGCCACACACCTGTAATCCTAGTACGCCAGAGACTGGAGCAGGACTGAGTTTGAGATCTGCCTAGGCTACACAGGCTTCCTAATCAAAAAGGGGGTGGAGCCGGGCGGTGGTGGCGCACGCCTTTAATCCCAGCACTCGGGAGGCAGAGGCAGTCGGATCTCTGTGAGTTCGAGACCAGCCTGGTCTACAAGAGCTAGTTCCAGGACAGGCTCCAAAACCAGAGAAACCCTGTCTCGAGAAAAAAAAAAAAATGGAGGGATACAGAGACCAGCCAGAGCTAAAAGTTACCAATGGTGTCTATCTTGCAGCCTGGCATTATATTGGCATCTGTGGAGGCTTCACATTCATCCTATTACAGCTGGTGCTTATCACAGCCTTTGCCCACTCATGGAACAAGAATTGGTAAGGAGCCCCTAACCCTAAAGGTTCCCCCCAAGGAGGGTGACAGGCATTATTGGATAAACACAGAAAGGTCACATTAGGTATTGCCCCTATGCCTCCCCATGAATAGTACCGAAATGCTCAAGAAACCAGATGTGATGCCACTCACTTGTGATCCCAGCACTGTAGAGGTGAGAACAGGAGGGTCAAACGTTCAAGCCAGAACAGGACTCATGAACTCACAAAAATGAAGCAGGGTAGGGAGTTCCAAATCAACCTCTTTAAAAAAAAAAAAATACATACACACACACACAGGTAATCAAGAATGGTGATACGGCTGGGCAGTGGTGGCACACACCTTTAATCCCAGCACTCAGGAGGCAGAGACAGGCTCCACGAACTCTGAGTTCGAGGCCGGCTTGGTCTACAGAGAGAGTTCCAGGACAGGCTCCTAAACTAGAGAAACCCTGACTTGAAAAAAAAATAATGGTGAAGCCGGGCAGTGGTGGCGTAGCCAAGTGGTGATGGTGCACAGCTTTAATCCCAGCGCCTGGGAGGCAGCGGCAAGCGGGTCTCTAAATTCAAGGTCAAGGTGGTCTCCAAATAGAGTTCCTGGACACACAGAAACCTGTCTCAATAAACAATAATCAAGCAAAAAAGTGACAAATACCCATAATCTCAACACTCAAGATGCTGAAGGATTGAGGCATGCTGGGGCAGGACTGCCAAAAGTTCAGGACCAATCTGAAATACATAGTGAGTTCAAGGACTGTCTGGAGTATATAGAGGTCCTGTCTCAAAACAAAAAAAAAAAAAAAAAAGCAAAGACCAAGAATATACTGTGTAGACTAGTGGGCTGACCAATTAGTGTCTGCTGAGAGATGGGGTTGGAGTGACAAACCCTAATCCACTTCTCTTTAGGCAGACTGGCGCAGCCCAAGACTGTACCTGGTTCCTAGCTGTATTACTGACTACCCTAGGATTCTACAGTGTGGCAGGTGTGGGAGCTTTGCTACTGTTCCACCACTATACACACCCTGATGGTTGCCTGCTCAACAAGATGATACTCAGCCTACATCTTTGCTTCTGTGGCCTCCTTTCTTTCCTCTCCATCGCACCTTGCATCCGCCTCAGTGGGTATTTGTGACTTAATAGTCTAGATTTTTGGGTGGGCTGTGTCCCTTTGAGTATTATAACTTTATTAGGCTTCTCAATTATCTAAAGAACCTCTGCCGCTTTTCCCACACCCTCAGCCTCCCCCAAGGATGAGGGTAGAAGTGCAGGTAAAAAGTGGGGAAAATTCATGTCAACTAATGACAGCTGTTCTCTCTAGAGCACCCAAGCTCTGGCCTTCTACAAGCCTCTATCATCAGCTGCTATATCATATACCTGACCTTCTCTGCACTGTCCAGCCGCCCCCCAGAGACAAGTGAGAACCCAAGTGCTGAAGACCTTTTCTGTTCCTGCTAAATGCCCAGCTTTTTTAACCCCTTTCTCTTCTGTTGCCCCTTGGCAGTAATCTTTCAAGGACAGAATCACACCTTGTGCCTGCCTGGCCAGAATAAAATGGAACCACAAATACCAGACACCTCGGTAGCAGTGTTGAGTGCGGGCATCATGTATGCCTGTGTGCTTTTTGCTTGGTACGTAAAGATGTCAATGGGAAGTGTGAGGAGAATGTCCAGGGCTGTGGTTTATTTAAACTGTAGAGCAAGACTAGAACCAGAAAAGCTCCCCACGAACAGGGACAATTTCTAAGAATAGCACTTTGTCAGATGATCTGTGTGAGATGACGGGGGCAGGGGAGAATGTCTTGAGTTTAAAATTCACAGACTTTAAGGGCCTCTGAGAGCAAAATACCGCTCCCCACTCCCACCCCAAAAGATACCACCGTTGACTAGTTGGCAATAAAAGCCCCTAATCCTTATCTGGCACAAAGTTAAACTCTTTCTTTCACAGCAACGAGGCTTCCTACCTGGCTGAGTTATTTGGACCCCTGTGGATCATCAAGGTTTACAATCATGAGTTCCAGGTGAGCATCCAGAGCTCACTAACCCCAACATCCCACCCCCAAACACAGAGACACACATCCTACCAACCTCTACCCAGAATGCTCAGATTCTAGCTATTTCCTTTTATTGAGTACCCACAATGTGCTAGGCACTGTACTAGATACTTTACATACATCATCTCGTTTAATTTAATCCTCACAACAACCCTGTGAGGTAGGTATTTGCTCCATTTCACAAATAGAGGAGTTGAGGCACAAAAGATTAAACATCTCACCAAAGTTTGCATAGCCAGTTATATGCTGGAGCAAGAATTTGAACCCAGGTGTGCCTCCACTTCTTATACCAGGCCAATATTTTCAAAGGGAAACTTTCCTAAATTAGTCCCCTTACATTGTCTTGAAGTCATTTCAAAACATGTTGCTTTGTTTTACAGAAGCCCTCACTCTGTTTCTGCTGCCCCCAAACAGTGGGACCAGAGGATGGTGAGCCAAGTGGGCAATCTAGGCAATGGTTGAATCCTGTAAAGTGCCAAAGAGCCCTCAAGAGCCTCCATAAGTCGGGGGAGGGGAGTTTCACCAACACTGCTTCCCATCGGCACTTCTCTCTCTCTAGGGCAAAGTAGCAGAGTCAGACCAACTGACCAAGAGAGCCCACCAGCCGCCCAGGTGCAGAGCCAGCATCTTTCCTACAGCTACTCTGCCTTCCACTTCACCTTCTTTCTTGCTTCACTCTATATCATGGTTACCCTTACCAACTGGTTCAGGTACAATGAAAGCAGACATAAAATACTCTCCTGAAAACCTAGCTTAAGGAAAAACTTGTTATAAGGGAAAGGCCCTGCAGAATCTCTAATCAGTCTTTGGTTTCACAGTTATGAGGGAGCAGAACTGGAGACCTTCACTAAAGGTAGCTGGGCTACCTTCTGGGTCAAAGTTGCCTCCTGCTGGGCCTGTGTACTCCTCTCTATGGGGCTGCTCCTGGCACCACTCTGTTGGCTCCCCACTCAGAATCACCACCACCCTGGTATCTTCAGGCAACACTGCCATCACGTCAGTACTGCCAGGTAAAATCTAACCCCCCATTCTCTATTTAAAAACCGGGTACCCTTTAGATTATGTTCCTAATCTTAGCTCTGAGAGTCATCTGGCTGAGCTCAGTACCTCAAGAACAAATGAGTACCACATAGGCTAAAATGGAAGAAGTGGCCAAAGATACCCTTGATTTCTTGATTCAGTAAAAACTGTCTTCATTCAAGCTCAAGAGTCTAACTCCCAGGTCAGTAAACTCAGGAGCTGATCTAAAGTGTGGCACCAGCCCCTTCCTAGCTTCTGAGCTAGAGATAAGGAGCAGGAAAGACCAACAGAGTCTGAAGATCTGGGTCTGCTCTTGGTAATCAAAAGGAAACAAGTGGTTCAGCCCTGGGCACAGGATGTAAGAGCCCAGAACCACAGAACAAACCAGGGCACAGGAAAAACAAGCAGAGGCTACCACAGGTTTTAATCCTGAACTTGAGGTCAAAGAAACTGGAAGACAAAAACCACCTTCATTCCACGAGGAATGACAGAACTTAAGAGAATGTGAACACCGGAAGTTGGTGAGCGAAGTTTTTTTTTTTTTGGGCCAACTTTCAAGCAAACAAAGAATGAGGAAGAGACATAAACTTGGGTCTTAGATCCTTCCCCTCTGATGGCCCTCAATACCATCATGGGGATGGTGTTCAAGGTCTTAGGGCATAAAATCACAGAAAAGAAGTCTATAGTTCTCAGAGGATTCCTCACCACCGAACTGGAGTGCTTTTCTGGTTGCCATAGTAAAATAAAGGCTTCTTCTGTGATGTCTCCCTTATGAAGTCTACAAATCTCTCTTAGTTGCCTAAAAAGTCTCCCCTTTTGGTGGGAAAGGGCAGTCACTCCTCCATCCCCATCCCCCCAGTCCCCAGTCAAACCAGGCGCTCACGGAATTACAAAGCTACTTTTAATACTTTGGGGTGTGCCCCACAGGAATAAAAAACACTGGGAAGGGGTAACCCCCTCACCCCCAGGAGTGGCCCAGGGGTAGAGAGGCTACCTGAGGGGAAGGAAGCACAAAAGGAACCCGCTGCAGACTCAGGGCAAAGGGAATGCCATCGGTGCTGGGACCTGTGAGCACTACAGGAAGAAACTCGAGCATGGTGGGACTGGCTCCAGGCACACAGGCGTAGGGCAAGAGGGTTGGACACGAAGCCACAAAGCTACTTGGGTTCCTCCTTCTTCTCGTTTGCCTTTTTCTGCTTCTGCTGCATGATCTCCGAGTCCCTGGGGGTAGAGATGATGGGGCACTGGGAGGTACCAGAGGGCAAAAAGGACAAGATGCAGGGGGATGAAGGGTACAAAGGATAAGATGGAAGTGGATGGGACAAAGTTCAGCATATGGCTGCTATATTCCCACCCTAGGCGAACAAGAGGAATAGAGCTACGGCTCAAAAGGCAATCAGTGTCCATCTGGATGTTGCCCAAGGGGTCAGAAGTCTGGCCACTCAGGCCCAAGGCTCTCTATTCTGTACTGACTACCACACCCAACGACACTAGTGAACAAGTCGGGAGAAGGGAGGAGATACAAGCAGCAAGGAGGTCCAAAAGTACTGGGCTGTCAAAACAACTGTTCTTGACGTGTGAAGCTCCCTGCCCTTGCCCTTAAGGTCACAACCCGGGCACTCAGAAATCAGCCTGCGGACCGGGACCCGCCCCAGTCCCTTCCTGTATAGCTGTGACCTAACAATTTGGAGTGGGGAGGAAATAAAACCCTAGAGGAAGCAATGCGCTCTGCCCCTCACACCTCGTCCAGACTCGAGCCCTGAAATAGTTCTCTTTCTTGGTACACCCCTCGGTCTAACCCAGGTCGCCCTGTCCCAACCCGTCCCGTCCTTTCCCCTCCCTGGGGCTACCTCTGCTTGCGGGCGGCAGCAGAAAGCCCATCATCTCGGCGCTTTCCCTTAACCGAGTCGCTCTGCTTCTTCATGTTCTTCTGGCGGGCGAGCTCTCGCTGGTTACCGCCTAAGAAGAGAAGGTAGAAAGTGAGGTGCCGGGGCTGCTCCGAGCACACACCAGCGCCCCTCCTCCCGCAACCAGTACCCGACTATGCCCCCGCCTCGGCGCCGACCCCCCAGAGTCGGGCTTCGGTGCCCGGGGTGTGGCAGCCGCCACGGGGCAGGCTAACTTGGGGTACGGGAGGGCGGTGCGGCCGAAGCTGCTTGGCGGCGCGAGTCAAGTTTGGGGTGCCGCGGGGGCCCAGACAGCTGCTACAGCGTATGGGAAGCTCCGGGGCCTCGGGGGCACGCGCTGGGGCCCATCACCCAGGGCACCCGGCTTCCCCAGCGCGGAAAGCCGCCGGCGGCCCGCGCCCAACACAGGGGTCTCGGCAAGTGGCGGCGTGCGGAGGGCTGCGCTTCCGGCTGTGCGGGAGGCAGCTGGAGAGCGCTCCCTCAAGAACCTTCCGCCGGGAACGCTGAAACGACGAACGCGCCGGCTCTCGGCCATGCGGCTAGCGAGAGCGGAAAGAAAAGGGCGAGAGGAAAGGGTCCCAGCACTCACGGGTCATGGCGACGGCAGCGGCTCCAACCTGCCTCCGTTGCGTCCCCTCGTTCTGGCCGACGTTGCAGGCCCCGCCCCCTCCGCGCGACGCCACCAAGTCGTCTCCTTCCTCCCGCCCCTTCACGCCCGGACGCCGACTCTCATTGGGCGGAGCAAAACACGTGGAGCGCGGTGCCACGCGCCAGCCCCGGAGGGCGAAGAGCGGAGCTCGGTGGGCGGAGCGCCGGGCGCGGGGCGGAGCTTCCCGGGAGCGCTGGGTCCGGCCGGGAGAAACTAGGCCGGGTCACGTGGGCGGCGGGGTGGAGGGGTGCGGCTGGCGATGTGGTGCTCCGGCGGTGCCGAGCACGTGACCGGGCAAAGTGACCTCATGTGGGACACTTTTAGGGTACTGACAAAGTCGCCCCAAGGCACGCGGTGGCGGGGTGGGGAGGGGGTGAGGGCGGGATTTCCTAGGTGGTTCATCCGGTTGTGTGCTATCAGTTTTTCTCTGGAGCGAAACTTTGTGCTGTTACTTAGGACTCCCATTCCCCCCCGCCCCCAGCCCCGTGGCCGAACACTTGCCACGGTTCGTCTGAAAACACACACAAATACTTTCCCACTTTCGTTCCTCGTTGCTGCCCCTTCACTGTGTCCTAAAGTGATCTGCAATCATTTCCCAAGAGCCTGCGCCCAGGGCTCCCCTACTGAGCTGCACTTCCAGAATGCCCACAGAAACTTTTGAGTGTACCTTGGGGGTGATGAAACACACTTAAATCCGTGGATTTACTTCAGGAACTGAGGTTAGGGAATGCTCCGGTTATATCTGTCTAGGCTGTTTCTAAATTCTATCATCTGCCCCAACAGTTTCTTCTGGATTGTTAAGAGAGATCAGGCTGATAACTAAAACTTGTTCTCGTTTTCTGTCATCTCACAGATGCGGCCCCGTAGATGGGGTTAGTTAAACCTTCTCTCCCATAGGTCTAAGACAACCTGAGTTCTGCTAAACTAACAGGAAACAACCCAACAGAGGGCAGAACAGTAGAATTATCTTCCTGCTGCCCAAGCCAAAGACAACTTTAGTTAAGGCCCTTTATCCTGTTTAGTATCATGACTGAGCAACTGAATTCAGACAGTGCACGCTCTAAAGCAGCGGCTCTCAACCTTTGGGGCGACCCAAAGGTCACCTAAGACCTTCGGAAAACACAGTTCATAACAGTGGTGAAATTACAGTTATAAAGTAGCAACGAAAATAATTTTATGGTTGAGGGTCATGACAACATGAGGAACTATTAAAGGGTCAAAGCATTCGGAAGGTCAAGAGTCACTGTCTAAAGTCTATAAAAGTCAAGTATTTCCTTTGTTCTGTGAGCTGCTGTTGAATCTACAATCCCAGCCCCAGCTTCTCCAGTACTTCAGGTGGCCAGCATTTTTTTTCTAGTTTTTTGTTGTTGTTGTTTGTTTGCCCATGATCTTCCAGGCAATTCTCCCATTTCTACCTCCAATCTTGATGGGGTGATCAGATTAAGGTGTGCACCATCACATTCAGCTTTTGTGTGTGTATGTGTGTTGGTTTGCTTTTGTTGTTTTTGTTTTTGCTTTTTTTGAGACAAAGTTTCTCTGTGTAACAGCCCTGGCTATCCTGAACTCTTTATAGACCAGGCTGGCCTGGAACTCACAGAGATCCACCTGTCTCTGCCACCCAAGTGCTGGGATTAAAGGCGTGCTATTTTTGGGGTTTTTGTTGGTTTTTTTTTTTTTTTTTTTTTTTTGGTTTTTCTCTGTGGCTTTGGGGCCTGTCCTGGAACTAGCTCTGTAGACCAGGCTGGTCTCAAACTCACAGAGATCCGCCTGCTTCTGCCTCCCAAGTGCTGGGATTAAAGGCGTGCATCGCCCGGCTTTTTTTTTTTTTTTTGGTTTTTCAAGACGGGGTTTCTCCGTGTAGCTGTGGTTGTCCTGGGATTTGCTTTATAGACTGGGCTGGCCTTGAACTCACAAGATTCTCCTGCCAAGGCCTCTGCCTCCTCCACCAGACCCAGCCTGGATTTTGGGTTTTTTTATTGTTTGTTTGTTTTAAGATTATTTCACTTTTTTTTTTGTGCTTTTTCAAGACAGGATTTCTCTGTGCAGCTTTGTATTCTGTCCTGGCACTACTCACTCTGTAGACCAGGCTGGCCAAGAACTCACAAAGATGCACCTGGCTCTGCTTCCCGAATGCTGGGATTAAAGACGTGCACACTACTACCCGGCTTTCAAAATCTTTCTTTACTACATAGCTAGTCCTAGGTCACTCTGGATTGTATTTGACCTTGTCTCAAATGTAAAGAAATAAAACAAAATTACTTAAGATGTGTGAAGATTCCATGATTAAACCCATTGACCTAGCCAAGCAAGGCGCACGCCTTTAATCCCAGCACTCTGAAGGCAGAGACAGGTGGATCTCTGAATTCAAGGCCAGCCTGGTCTAAAAGTAAAGTTCCAAGACAGTTCACTGGGAAGGAAAAAAAGAAATGAAAAGGAAACCCATTCATTTTTACACTATCTTAAGTTAATCTAAACTTTTAAAATAAAATAAAATTTTAGATTTATTTTTGCATGTGGTGGTGTGTGACTGTAGATGCCTGCAGTGTCTGGAAGAGGGAGCAGGAGTTACAGGCTGTTGTGACTGCCTGTCTTATGTGGGCACAGGGACTGAACGTCCTCTGAAAGAGCAGCAAATGCTCTTACCGGTTAAGCCATCGCCCTAGCCCTAGTAAAATTAAATACTACTCAGCCTTTTGGCTAAGGTCAAGTGCAAAAATAATATTAACTTTACATTTTGGTGAGAAGTTGTGTTAATATCAGCCTGTAATCCCAGCACTCCAGAAGAAGCAGAGACTTCCAGAAGGATCTGAAGTTCAAGGCTACTAGGTTCAGTACAGACAGGGTTGAGACCAGTTTGGACCACATTAGACTGTCTCAGGAAACCTAGAAAAGGGACAAAGAACAGACAAAAGAAAATGAAAATCCTGACTCCTGTAGGTTTTATTTACGACATTTGCTTTCTCCAGAGTTCAGTTATTTACTTTTTAAAAAATATATTTATGCAGGGCGGTGGTGGCGCACGCCTTTAATCCCAGCACTCGGGAGGCAGAGGCAGGTGGATCTCTGTGAGTTCGAGGCCAGCCTGGTCTACAAGAGCTAGTTCCGGGACAGGCACCAAAGCTATGGTGAAACCCTGTCTCGAAAAAAAAAATATTTATTTAGTTACTTATTTATTTAT